CGCGCCGTGCTCTCTGACGGCACCGCGCCCGCACTGAAGATGGTCGCTCCGGCCTCGGAAGTGACATCACGGCGTGAGAGGCGATGGGTCAGCGCGCCGAGGGGGCGGGAAGGGAGAGAGGGGGCGATGGCGGGGCTGAGGGAGACCTGCGCGGCCGCTTCAGGCGGGGTAAAGGGTTTTGCCTGCCTGAAGGAAACACAAACCAGCAGGGACGTGACGTCGTGCGGCCGAATTCGGGAGTTAATTCCTCATCTCCGGGCACAGAAGGTAGGGAAGTGCCTTCGAGGGGGCTGTCAGGCAGCACAGGTCGGCCTCCCAGACTGTGTTCCCAGGGTAGCGTCACTGCGCACATACTGTACGCGCGTGCAATAAAAAGCCCGTCACACCTCTACTTGCGTGGCTAAAAGCCAAAAAACAGGCCACGGTACTCTTCCCTTAGCTGAAGGTTCCCAGAGCTAACATGCCTAGCGGAAATTCCTGAACGCCCAACCGAACGAAGGCAGCGAGCAGATGCTCTCCATCAACGCTCCCCACCAACTCCCTTGGCGCCGAGCGACTCGCGCGCCTTAACTCAGCCTGCGCCACGGGCGCTTCCATTCGGAGCGGGACTGGGCTTCAGGATCCTGTATTTGCAGTTCCAAAGACCAGTGCTTTACCACGGCTGCTTGTTGAACACTGAGCCACAGCCAGAGCGGTGAAATCCAGCAGCAGCACGACAGATTGTTACATGTATTAGGGAAAAACTTTGTGCTGATGAGTCCTGATTAGTGTTTCTGTGACACTAAGTGATTTGGAGAATGATGTAATTCTGTATTCAAACTGTTAAATACAGAGGTCAAAGTCCAAAGTTCACGCATTAACTTACACAGGATGAACCAGAAGTGAGGACGGCTCATAAAAAATTGGTAAGTGTAAGATGGAATGACTCCTACAAAAAGGGGTTGAAAGAATAGTACACAACATGGAGATGTGGGATTACCTACAGTGAAATGGATCGCCGTGTTGGGAACACTGCTGAAGGCTAAATTCCAGCTGTCAGGGTCGGCTGGCTCTGGAGACCAACCTGCAGGCGGATGGCAGGGTACCCCACGGGGGGTGCAGCACCCCTGCGGGCTTACTGGAAGAACAAGCCCCAGGGTAGGGCTGAGTAACAGTGCTGACTGACAGGTGCTCTGGAGGGGCAAAAAAATGCCACTGACAGAAGTCTGAGTCAGCTGGAACTACAAATTCCCTCTGAGTTTGAATCACCTAAATATTACCGTTTAGGTAAAAGCAGGATTTATCACTTGTTGGCACATGGTACTTATCTCAATGATCAAATACATTATTCTATTCTATTTATAAGAAAGGAGGGATGGACTTGCATGAGTTCTTTCAATTAATTTTATTGAGTAGCCAAATCTGATAAATTAGCACAGATAAAATAAGCATTTGCATGTGTTACAAATGACTTTTTTTACAGGAATAAAACAGTGAAAATTACAAACTGTAAAAAGGAGGACAAGTAAATCCTGTCTTAAATTCAGAAGGGGGGAAGATTGATAACTTCATACTGAAGATCAAATGTTTGAGTTCAGAAAACAAAGATTTAATATTACAATATTATACACTACTTTACAAAATTAAATTTACTATAAGGATTACATCCATAATAGTAAACAGAACCTTAAAATCACATTTAATGGTCCCTTATTTAACAGCCATTTTGCATCTTTGATTAAATTATGTTAAGAAATTAATTCTAAATAAAAGTGAACCATTCTAGTTATTGCAACACAGTCTATGTGGACTCAAGACTCAAATATATTAAATTAAAAACGATAACGAAAGCAAAGTAAAATGGATGGTAACAATGTTGGCTGAACACTAATGTGTCAAATACAGAAACAGGTTTAAAAAAAGTCTTCTACTAGAAAAATAGAGTACATTTGCAGTGGTAGAGTTGTCGTGCTGAGATCTAAGTACCAGAGCCACTCTCACCTATTTTTGCAGTTCATCTTCAGTGTCCTCATTTCTCAACTGTAGGTAAAAATGACACATCATAGGCAGTTGGTGTGTCCAGCTGTCCTGCACTGCCCTGACAGCAACACGAGGTGAACCCACAGGCCTTTCCCACTGCAAGGGAATAAACTAACCCAGTTTGATACAGAATTTCTTCTAAGGTGAAGAGAACTCCAAGCGGGTTCAGCTGATTTCTTGTTTCTAACATTTCACCCTGTAAAGCTGAGGGACCCTAACTCAAAGTTAACTCCCACAAAGACTGACATCTTTTGCCATTAGCCTGGTGTACACAAAGCAATAAGCCATCTCCAACATCCATGTTTTTAAAAAAACGAGCAGCAAGACAAAGTCACAGTAAGAGACCGACTTTGGGTGGGCTGTTAGACGCAAGGATGATTTTCAGCATCTGAGTGATGACAGACCCAAACCTCAGGTTTTGAGTCATAATCTATGCAACTGCATAGCTTCCATTTATGATTTAAATGAAGAGACCCCTTTCTCCATGAAAAAAACCCCAGACTGTCAAAACTTAAAAAAAACCAACCCCTCTCCACTCTGACTAGAAACAAAAGTTGTTCAAGTAAACATACTCCCGTTGGCCACCAAGACAGCAGACAGGGAAGCTTAAGTTGGTTCCGTAACAGTCTTTTCATGCTCTTTTAGACATCGTTCGGAACTTTTGCTTCTTGTGCTCAAGGGACAAGAACGATTTCCCCAAAGAAACTCCCCTCAAGCAAAGCAACTCCTGACAATCGCGCGCAGCTACAGCCTGATTACCCACCAATGTCCTTCAACACTTGTACCACAAAAGTCCGTGAACTAGCCGGATCACAGTGCGTGTTTGGCCACTTACAAGTGTTTTACCTGCTCAAGTTACTTGCCCCAGGAAGTAGGCTTTGCAAGACCTTTATTATTTACTAGTGGTAAAGCAGACCAAGATTTTTCCATATGAAACCCTTCCATGGGCACAGGGATACAGTAACTTAAATACTCTTTATGCTGGTAGCTATCCGTGACAGCTCAATCTCAGAACAATTATCCATACACTTGTATAAAATTAAATATTGTTGTATATAAATTTTCACTTCAACTCCCATCTGTAGCCCCGGCAGGGATGTAAGAGCATATTTAAAGCTTTTATTTGGGCACGCTGGCTTTGGACCAAGGCTTGTTACACAGCTGCAGTAAAAAACAGTTTTGAAAACCTCAAGCCCATCTAAAACCATAAACAAATCTTCAAATGCCACAGAATGTTTTTTTGTCTTTGGAAAAATAATTCCTTTTCCGATTTCAGCATCAGCATAGTCAGTGTTGTCTCAAAACATTAGGTTCGAAGTGCCGTCGTACAAACGTGCTTCAGAAACACATGAGGATTTTAGGGGCTTAAACATTCAGTTAATGTAAACAAGAGCCAAAATCTACTGAACGTAAACAATAGAAAAATGGGAGCTAGCCTTCCTTGCCCCTCCCCTCCCACACCATTCACAAACTGAAATCAAAGCTATTCCTGTCACCGAGGGAAAACAAAGCTTGTCCTCTACCGAAGTAGTCTTCTGCTGCTGCTCAGCCATGGGCTCTTAAAAACGTGTCTCATAGAGGGCCCGCTTCTCCCCACTCTCTTTTTTAATTAGAATACTGACTTATTCAGAGCTTTAACAAATTCAGCCACCTTGTCCGGGTTAAGCTTACCTTCTGTCCTATTAGCCACAATCCAATCCCAGCACTGGATCCTACACTTCAGAAAGCATTTGTTCGTTTCACAATGAACAGCTGTTCCATTGCTACTTTAAGCGTTAGGTTGAACACCGAGATACTCTGTCTGTAATCACTGGATGCACTTAGAAAGAATTTCCCTGCAAATCATGATCAGTATTGTGAGGTTTTATATCTAGCAGCCAAAAAAAAAAGCAGAGAGTTACAGAAATATACATTTTGAACAACAAAGAACTCTTTATTTTACAAAATGTATTTCACCTTTTCAGTATTGCCTTTGTAAATGTACTTCATGCTGCAACTACTTACAGTAAAAACATGATTTGCAGCAAATTAAAGGTGCTCAACCAGTTCCAATAGTTTGATTCTTTGTTTTTTTAAGGTACAATATTATGTAGTTGTACATTTGATTCTCAGATGTGGTCCTTTATTTGCTTTAGTTTGTTGAAATCACAGTGACAACTTCTCATCAACTGCCTCAGGCCACGGATTTAATGAAGATATTACAAGCACAATCGTTCTTTACTGCAAAATCTTTCCTCTTAAAGAAGTGAGCCAACGGCTAGTGTTTCATTTATTCACTTGCTGCTGTATATGAAGGAGGAATTCATAGTATGATAAGGCTGATTCTGTTCTGTCTTCGATCATATTTTGCAGAAAACTTGATTTCAATGGACTGTCGTCCCTTAAAAATGAAAATATAAGCGTTTGAGTAAAATAAATATTCACCAAGATCTACAGTACAATGCATTAATAAAGTTACGGGTCAAGTGGCAAGGTGTTTCAAGAGCTTAAGGACATGTGAAAAGAGGATCTCAAACTGCCCTTGGGATTAATCCCAATAAGTGCACTCATCAGCATTTACTTCATTTATCTGCCATTAACTCAAGATTCTTCTGTGACATTTCGTCGTTTTTGGTCTGTGGAAATTGTAATTGGAGACAGCTCGTAACGCGAGTCCTGTCTGTTGTCAAATCTGTGAGGCACAGCACTCACCACGGTTAAAACTTCCATTAAGAAAGTTCAGTTTATGACGTCCAACTACGTATCGTCAAGAGGTCCCTAAAGAAGCACAAAAACTGTGAAAGCCCACTTACTTTATTATATATAGTATGGGGAAGAAAGGTCTCTGCTCTCTCAGCCAAGAAATAAAAGCTGCTGTTCTGATGGATTCTGCGGTTTCGAGTTCTGGGAGATGCGTCTAAGAGACAAAAGGTATCAATACACACGTGACAAGAAGAGAAACAGTGACAGGAACACTTAAAACAGTTTTAGCTTACTCTCCCCTTTGAAAGGGCTTGAAACAAGGTGCTCAACTACTATACGCAATCTGCTATCAGAATGGTGATAACTGAGCTGCGATCAGTACCTGCTGTATCGCAGAAACCGAAGGATTTCCCACTAATCCACTGTCCTCACTATTCCCAAGTATTCTCAGTCTGCTCCCACAGTTCTGAGAAACTTCACCATGGCCAGCCTCTTCTCACTGTGCTTTCATGGGGAGATCTATAAAGTTTCAGCCTGGAGAAACCACGAGAGGTAACAAATTCTTTCTTTCCCCGGATCTGGATTTATAGTGAATAACAACTAGAGGGCTAATCCTTGAATAGTGGTATTTTCGTACTCCTGGAAGTAACATTCTGGCAGCACTGTGTGACTGGTGTACAGCAAAGCAAGCACATACCATATTCTGCGGTATCGAGCCGTAATTTGGAACTCCAAGCACTTGGCTGATAAAGCTCTGCCCGCAGTTCTTCCCAATCCACAAAAACATTACCTGAAAGATACCCAGCAACAACAACATGAATTCAATGCAAAACACCACCTCAGCAGTCTCCTACATTCTGAGTTTTCAGAAAGAACCCATCGAGTAAATCTGGGTACTTTACACCACCACACCACTTACAGAGCCGGCGTCCATAAGGTAAGCACCATCCCTACTCAACTTCTCTACCGACAGCTGGAGAATGGGTGGCTGAGGTATAGTTCTGTCATTTATGTTAAGAGCTCCCTAAAGGAAAAAGCATAAAGAAAATCAGCGGTTCACATCTCGATGCACTGGAACAGGCTGAAGAACAGAAGGTTAAATAAGAATCACAGGGTGGTTTGGGTGGGAAGGGACCTTAAAGGTCATCTAGTTCCACCCCCCTGCCATGGGCAGGGACACCCTCCAGGAACAGGATGTATTACTGAACCCTAAGCTGGACCCTTCTCCTCACTTTAGTCCCAGTCATACTTTCAGTGCATAATTTACAAATAGATCTCTTATGTTTTATTTAGTGAGGGGGTACTTCATCAACTTAATCTTAGTTAATTAGGACTAGAACTGGCATATCAGGTTTGTACAAAAGATGTGATTTCTAAAATTATTCAGGCTCTTACATAAACATTCTCTCACTGTTCGCAGAACTACTTTGACATTTTAAAATATAGGAAGCTACAGAGGGACAAAAAGTTAAAATATATGTTATACAATCTTTAAGTACATGTGATTTATAAAATAAGGTTAGAGAAAACCTCTTCCATCCACTCACAGCACAGCTTCTCTCCAGAATTCATCAATCCAATCCCAAACAACACATGCATAATAAATGCAATAAATGGGAAGATAGGAAACTGAGTTTTAGCTACGCAGCCTGAATGTGGAAAACTGGTGAGATTCTTAACACAGACTTAGGTTTGCGTCATACAAATCTCTGGGAGCAGGCAAACAGACCATGTAGCAATGCAAATACTCACCTCATCTGTGAGGTTATCAACTCTGTACAGACTGGGATGTGTCATAAGCATGAGGTATACAAGGGGCTGGTTCTTCACCTGACACATGGTAAAAATGCGTTCATCTAAACGTGTGGTCGTCCCAGTTTGAAAGGCTTTCTGCAAGCAATCAGGCGTTTGATGTCACCATGAAAGCAAAGCGAGATAAACTGAATTTAGCACACCACCCGTTGCTTGTTCATAACTTACTTCGAAGTCTTAGAGTCGAGCTGTAAGCACTGTCTCAAAATACCATACTTTCCCACTGCTGCTTTGATTCTCCTTAGTTCTCTTCAGTGGTTCACATACAAGTCACACAATTCCCCTTATTCCCATTTCTGGGCTCTAGAACTTCCCATGACCTTGCAGCATCAATCCTTCCTAGTGAGCACTACAGCTGAGACGAAAGCCTCTTGAAATGT